ACCCACCGCTATCATGTGAGGGGCAGGGCGGAGGGGAGGGGTGGTGGCGCGAGACGGCAGCCGGAAGGGACAGAATTGTGCGAAGGACCGGGAGCGACGCCGGGGCCGGGACATGGCCGGGAGAACGGGAATGTTCACCGGGAGGAGAGAGGGATCCAGGGAGAGCTCAGTACCCCCTTGCAGGGCCTGAAGGGGCTCCAGGAGAGCTGCAGAGGGACTGGGGACAAGGCCTGCAGGGACAGGACCCAGGGAATGGCTCCCACTGCCACAGGGCAGGGCTGGATGGGAGATTGGGCAGAAATTGTGGAATCCGTGCCTGGAATGGATTTCCCAGAGCAGCTGTGGCTGCCCCTGGATCCCTGGCAGTGCCCATGGCCAGGCTGGACAGGGCTTGGAGCAACCTGAAGGTGTCTCTGCCATGGCAGGGGTGGCACTGGATGAGCTTTAAGGTCCCTTCCCAACCCAAACCATTCTTGGATTCTCTGAACATGTTAAACTCAAGATATTTTGGGCCAAATATTGCAAGATGAAGAAAAGCAGCACCACCCAAGCAAGAGGCCTCTCATGAGGAGCCCTGAGGGCCACCCCAGGAGCAGGGCAGAGGTGTTGGCCCCACACCCACCACGATCACCAGCCGGTCCATCAGCTGGTCCAGCAGGAAACATTTCCAAAATAAAAATGCAAGTCCCAGAAGGTCGGTGAGGCTGCTTCCCTCCATGGTGACACCTGCCCTCCCCTGAGGAGCCCTCCCTCCATCAGTGCCCATGGAGCCGTGGCTGCAGGCTCCACAATGTGATGCCCACAGCAGCTCTGAGCCCTCCCTCTCCCCACAGCTCCCCACGGCCTGAGCTGGGTCTGGATCAGGGATGGGTGGAAGTGCCCAAGGCCAGGCTGGACAGGGCTTGGAGCACCATGGACAGTGGGAGGTGTCCCTGCCATGGCAGGGGTGGCACTGGATGGGCTTTAAGATCCCTCCCAACACAAACCAGGCTGGAATTCTATGATCATTTGACATTAATAAAGATATCAAGCATGGTCTGCTTTCTCCCTCAGATGTACTATTAGACTTTTCCAGCACTGATACCCTCCTTTCTTCAAGATCCCTCAAGTATTCAAGGCACAGCAGCTTAAAATTCAGGTATAAAGTTATATTAGATGAGCTTTAAGATCTCTTCCTGTGAAAAATGCATATTTTATGATTGGCTTTTTGCAAATATTAAAATGAATATTATATGTGTTGTATTAGAAAGTGATACTGTAATAATTCTCTTAAGTAGTGTGTTAAATATAGTTTTAGGTTATAACAAAATGTTAAAGTAGGAACTATGCTATGTAAGATACTTTTTTTCTAAAGAAAGGACTTGCAGTGAGGTAGCAGCCACAGGGCACCTAAATCTTTCAGAAAAAGAGAATTTATTGCTCCATTATCAGGAGAAACAAACTTCTTCCTGCCTTGCTCAGCTGTGACAACAGCGTCAGAATTCAGAGGAAGAAGTTTACACTGACCAGACAGAATCCTGTGTTTGAACGGATTTTATGCATCATGTATGAGTTGTATGAATATGCAACAGGTTTTTGTTTTTAAGGGTTAATCCTCTGTTAACTGTCCTGTTTTGGGCTCGTGTTGCCCAGAAAGGGTACCTGGACTGTCTGTAACTTTTGTTTCTATTGTCTCATATTGTCCTAATCAAAATTGTCCAAAATTATTTTTACTCTAAATATATTGCTATTTTCATAACCATTTTATTACTATTAAACTTTTAAAATTTTAAAAAACGAGTGATTGGCGTTTTTCACACTTCCAACCCAAACCATTCTGGGATTCTGGTACAGCTCGATCCCAAGAGCAGAGAAGAAATTAAAGTTTTTCCAAATAAAGACCTTGAAGGATTAATTTTCAGTCTCACTCTTTGCTAAAATGTAAAATCATTATTCCCAACATTATTAACAGTATTGTTTGTGGGCTTTTTTACTTTACTTTTTTTTTTTTACTTTTTTTTACTTCATAGAACAGACTTTATTTTTCTTTCTGTTAATTTTGTGCAATATACATCTATGTGCCCAGAGCACCCACCACAGTAAAAAGGTTGCCATCCATACATTACATTACTTTTTATTTAATGTTGTGAAAATTCCTACAACAGTTTTGTCCTTAAATTTGTATTTCTTCCTCCCCTGCTCTCCTTTCCCGAGCTGCCTGGTCTAAAAGAGGAATTTTATTTTGTTTATTTATTTTTTTCTGGTCCCTTCCCGCCTGAACACTTCTAGAGCTACTTAAGTCCTTATTTTCACCACATTAGACTCCTTAATATAGCAGGGATCCCTCTCCAAGCTCTCAGCTCTGCAAATCCTATTAATTCGGGTGTGTAAAACCCCAGCTGGACTTTAAAAGACATTTCCAAGCGCTGAGGCCGTGCTTTCTGTCACTGGCAGCTCCAGGCAGCGGGTCAGGCTCATCCCTGGGCAAACTTGCCCCAAAATTTCCCCAAACCCCCTCGAGCCTCCCTGAAATCCATCGGATGCTCGACACGCAGGGAGGATTTTGGGTGTGAACCAGCAGAGGTCACTCGGCCCCAGTAAATCCAGTGCTGCTGGACCAGTAAAACAGGGAGAGTTACTGGGGACAGCGCCAGGGCCACCCCAAAATCCTGTCCCCTGTCCATGGGATCCCTCCCCTTCTCACCCCAGACTTCAGCTCTGAAACCTCCTTGGCAATTCCCAGATTCCTCCTTGGAGATATTTTCCCTAAACATTTTTTTTTTGTTTAAAGCCATGCTTTAATTTATTATTTTATTTGCTCGAAATACACCAAAGAAACAGGATTTGGCGGGAAAAAAAGACAAATGTTTTTTAAAATGAAAGCCAAAATGTCAGTGTGCAGCATCCAAGGATCTGGAGCTCCCACATGGAGCTCTCGCATATATATCTTACATCTTATATCTTATATCTTATATCTTATATCTTATATCTTATATCTTATATCTTATATCTATCTTATATCTTATATCTTTCTATCTTATATCTTATATCTTATCATTATGTTATATTATATTATATTATGTTATGTTATGTTTGTTATGTTATGTTATGTTATATTATTTCAATTATATATATTATAGTCTATATTCTAGATTCTAGATCCTATATTCTTTATTAATATATCTAGAAATATAATATGCAATACTATATATAATATTATTGTATTGTATTATATTATATTAATTTTTTATGATACATTATATATTTTATGTGTGTTATATATATATATATAATATTTCTATATATATTAATATGGAATATAGAATAGAATATATATAATATAGAATATGTAATAGAATATATAAGAGAATATATAATATATATTCCCTGGACACCCCGGGGAGCCCCCAAAGTGGGTGACTGCCTTTCCCAACACCTCCCCAAGCTGTGCCCTGCTTTGCCCAGGGTTTATCCTGCAATATGTGAGCCCCAGATGGATGGGAAGGAGGAGGAGGAGGAGGAGCTGTGTTGTCCTCTGGGAATGGCCCAGGGCATTGCCTGACCCTGCTGCTCCAAGGATTTTTTTTGTTATTTCCCTCTGCCCCACAGCTCCTGGCCAGCCCAGCTGTGTGCTGGGGACACAGCTCTGATCTGTCCAGCAGGGAATGGACACCCAGGTGAGGTTCACAGAAGGAAACCAGGATGTGTCTTCACACCCAGTGATCCCTTTGTGTGTGTGCCCCCAGAGCAGAGATTCAAAGAGTTCTGGAATATTCTGAGTTAGCAGGGACCCTCAGGAATCAAATCCTGCCCTGTCCCTGCACAGCCACCCCAAACCCCACCCTGAGCAGCCCTGAGGGCTCTGTCAGTGAGGGGCTGGGAACACAAACCCTGTGAGGAACAGCTGAGGGAGCTGGGGGTGCTCAGCCTGGAGAAAAGGAGACTCAGGGGTGCCCCCATCGCTCTCTGCAGCTCCTGAAAGGGGCCTGTGCTCAGCTGGGCTGGGCTCTGTCTGCAGCAGCACTGACACAACCAGAGCACACAGCCCCAAGCTGTGCCAAGGGAAATACAGGGTGGATATCAGGAAAAGGTTTTTTACAGAAAGGGTGATGAAGTTCTGGAATGGCTGCCCAGAGATGGAGTCCCCACCCCTGGGTGTGTTTAACAAAGCCTGGATGTGGCACTGGGTGCCAGGGTTCAGTTGAGGGGTTGGGGCTGGGTTGGACTCGATGATCTTGGAGGTCTCATCCAACCCAGTGATTCTGGGAATTCTGTAAATCCTGTGATTCTGGGATTCTGTGAATTCTGTGTCCAAACACTCCTGCAGCTCTGGCAGCCTTGGCACCATTCCCTGGGCAGCCTGGGCAGTGCCCAGCAGCCTCGGGGGGCAGAACCTTGCCCTGAGCTCCATGCCAAGGCCTGGCACAGCTGCAGCCCTTGCTGGGCTCCTGTCCCTGTGCCAGAGCAGAGATTAGTGCCTGGCATCCTTGTTAAATCCAGGACATCCATGAACATCCACGTATAATGCCCTGGTATATCTGAGGTGTTCTTTCCTTCCTAGGACTGGGAACTGTTTGAAAATGACTCCCAAATGCTCCTTGGCTGTCCCTGATTCCTCCCCACAGATGCACAGTTCCCCCAGACCTGTCTCTACTCTCCTGCCCCAAAATGTGTCCCTGGCACTGCCAGGTGCAATCCCTGTCCCTCAGCTTTGCTGTGCATTTAGGGAAGCAAGAACATCTCCCAGTGCCTGAAATCTGCCTTTATGTCCAAATCCTGAACAGGATGGGTGGGATATTGGACAGGAATTGTTCCTGGCGGGGTGGGCAGGCCCTGGCACAGGGTGCCCAGAGCAGCTGGGGCTGCCCCTGGATCCCTGGCAGTGCCCAAGGCCAGGCTGGGCAGGGTTTGAGCAGCCTGGGACAGTGGAGGTGTCCCTGCCATGGCAGGGGTGGCACTGGGTGGGCTTTGAGGTCCCCTCCAACCCAAACCATCCTGGGATTCTGGTACAGCTCAGTCTTTAACCCATGGAAGAAATTAAAGCTTTTTAACCCATGGAAGAAATTAAAGCTTTTTAACCCATGGAAATTCAAGCTTCTTAACCCATGGAGGAAATTCAAGCTTTTCCATCTCTTTGAGGCATTCACTTCCACTCTCCCTCTTTCCTAATATTTAAAATCATTATTTCCAGCATTATATATATATTTTGTTAACCTTGTGAAACAGACTTTATTTTTCTTCCTGTAAATTTTGTGCAATATACATCTATGTAGCTATAGAACACACCTCAGTAAAAAGGTTGTCATCCATACATTATATTACTTTTTATTTAATGTTATGAAAAATTCCAACAACAGTTTTTGTCCTTAAATAAACGTTTCTCCCTCCCCTGCCCTCCCTTCCTAAGCTGACTGGTCTGAAAGAGGAAATTTTATTTAGTTATTTTCTTTTCTTTAAAAAAATAGAAATTACAATCTTACAAGACAGAACATTCAATGAGAACAGAAGCATTTTCCTAAATCTAAAAAGTAAAACATTTCCATAAAACCTGTTGGTATCTACAGGTAGGTAATGTGTGGAGGGGTGGTAAATGGAAATAAAAGGTTTTCCATTTCTTCCTTTCATTCATAGAGATAAAAAATAACATAAAGCCGACCAAAACTTTATATATTTTTCTCTTTTGCACCAACATTCACAAGAATATATATTATATATATTTTTGATCCATCTTTATACACAGTGTGAGGGTTCTGTGGGTGGAAATGGACACTCAGCTACACTGCCAGAGCAGACAAACAAACACTAAATTAATCTTGGTCTGGAAAGGAGCCACAGCTGGCGGCCCAGGGCTGCTGGAAAGGAACATCCCATGTTGGGATGGGAACATCTCTGGAGCACCAGAGCCATGGGGGGCTCAGGGCTCCTGGCCCCCTCCCCACTGGCCACAGGGGAGAGGGAAATCTCCCTTTTTTGGGGCATTTCTGCCCAGGTTTTGTCATTTCCCTGCGAGCCCTGAGCTCTGGGTGGCCCAGCAGGGGTGAGGAACCTTGGCACAGCCCTGGCGAGCCCCAAGCAGGGGCTGCCACCCCTTGCCATCCCTTTCCACCCCTGCCATCCCTTTCCACCCCCTGCCATCCCTTTCCACCCCTGCCATCCCTTTCCACCCCCTGCCATCCCTTTCCACCCCTGCCATCCCTTTCCACCCCTGCCATCCCTTTCCACCCCTGCCATCCCTTTCCACCCCCTGCCATCCCTTTCCACCCCTGCCATCCCTTTCCACCCCCTGCCATCCCTTTCCAGGCGTGGCACCCACCCCAGGCCAGCAATCACCGAATCGACACCGAATCACTTTTATATCCCCTCCCAAAAATAATCATCGAATCAAGTCGAGAACTGAAAAGTGCAGGTTCCTGCAGTTTGGCAGGTCGAGTTACACGTGTTTAATACTTCCAGTCTTCCCTAGGTTCCCACGGGGGGGCTCTTATTGCTCAGAATAATCCAGAATCTCTCCCCACGGGCTCTGATGTTCCCAAATTAAGGTGCTTTCTTGGGTTCTTTGCCGGATGAAATGAACTCGGTGGCGTGTTGGTTGTGTTGGCTGACGAATACTGAGGGCAAAAAGAAGGGTGTGTGCTTTTTTTTTTTTTTTTTTTTTAATAAATTTCTGGGTTTTTTCCCCAAATGTTCCCAAACCCCCACGGGCTGTTCCCTCTGAGCTCAGTCACCTTCTGGGGCTGCTTTTCCTGGGAAGTGAACGGCGCTGTCGGAAACGACGCTTCCAAAAAAACAACACAAAAAAAAGGCACAACCCTCTGGACATAAAAGGCAGTACTGACTTCTCTCTTCTGTCCAAGCTTTGCAGAGGGCAGGAGAGGAGCTGGGCACATCCCCACGCCGTGGACGCTGCGCTGCACAGCCACACATTGGCACTGGACGTCGCGTGGGGCCGTGGAAGGGCTGGCAGCCTTTTCCCAGAGCCCTGGCTCCAACAGAGAGGGAGCCAAGGCTGGCAGGCTCCAATCTGCTCCCAGAAGCTGTTGGGATGTGGTCAGCAAAGCCATGGGAGTTTGCTGGTGGGATGTGGTCAGCAAAGCCACGCGGCAGCTGCTCCAAATTCCCTCTGCCTTGGAGCCGAGCAGAAATCCCATGGGAGAGTCTTCCCTCATCAAGGTTGGTCCATGGTCTTCCCTAGGAGGTGTTTTGACAAAAGCAGGAATATCCCTCACGTTGCTAAGAAAGCTGCTGGTTTGGTTTGAGGGGTGCAGTTGTGGATCCAAAGGTTTTGGCTCCCGCTCGGAGCTGCCCGAGGATGGGGTTGGGTGCACGAGGAATCAGCACAAAGCAGGAAAGGAGCTTGGGATTTTAGCCCTTTGTCAGCAGAAACTGGGGCTGCCTCAGAGCAGGTTTTTCCCTTGTAGTTTTTTTGGCATTTGCTGCAGTGAGAGCAGGAGCAGGGACGGAAAAATCCATTTGCAGAGCCACAGAGTCTCTCAAGCATCCCCTGCTGCCGTGGCCTAGAACAGCATCATCCCACCAATCCTTCCTTCATCCCCTTCTGAGCCTCCCAAAAGGAGCACCAGGTCCCAAACACCACATTCCTTCCAACCAGCCTTATTCTCAAAGGGAAGAATAAGGACCTTTCACTTCCCTTGGCTCCAGCAGGCAGTTTCTCCCCCTAAAAAGCTCCTAAATCCTGCTAACTCAAGAGCAACTCCCAAAAGAACAGTTCTAGGGAGCTCATTGAGGGGAAAGCCTGGGTCCAACTCAACCTGCAGCCACACCTGTGTGTCGTGTGGGAAAGGGGAACCTGGGGATGGGGTGGGGAAAGGGTCACAGACCCTGCTCTGGGTGCTGAACCTTGGGGCAGTTTTAATGGGATTGATAAGAGAGCTACACACAACAGCAGCACCCAGAGCTGCGGCCACCACGGGGACAGGGACAGCCCTGCAGCCCCTCCAGTGCCACGGGTGCCTCTGGGGTGGCATGGCCAGGATCTGGGCTCTGGCTGAAGTCCCACGGGCCTGGAAAAGCTGCTGGGATGCACAGAGGTGGCACAAAGCACCAGCTCCACAAAGTCAGGTGTCACCCAGCTGGACAAGGAGCTGGCTGGGAATTTGGGAAAATGCTGTGATGCAGGGCATGGAGACCCTGCAAAACTCTTCCCCTGCTGCACTGAGCATCTTTTCCCTCAAAGCAGCTTCCTTAACAGGAAAATCCTGTGGTGAATCCCCCACCAGCCACAGCCAGACCTTTCCTGGCCAAGCTCCCGGGGTCCCACTGCACCCATGGGAGATGAAATAAAGCAAAGGCTCTGTCCCTTCCCTCTCCTCAGCTGCAGCCCCAACCCGACCCAGCCGAGTCAGCATCACCCCTTCTTTATCCCATGCCTGATGATCGGGTTTAAAAAACCACAATAAAATAAAAATAATAATTAAAAAAAACAAAGACATAAAAACGGGAGGTGGAGAGCGCAGCCGGGACAGCGGGAAGGACACTCCCTCCTCCCGTGTCACCAGGAGCAGCCTGTCCCTCACCACTGCCAGGAGCATCTCCTCTCCCAAGCAGAGATTTCACATTCATTTCACTGGTATGGCAAAGTCCATTTGCTTTTTTTCCTTCAAGGTGCTTTACATTCAAGAGCTATTGCAATCCACAGCGAGGAGACGGGGCCAGGGAGGCACCGCAGCCCCCCCGGGGGTTCTCTTGCTTTGATTATTTGATTTAAATAAATTGCCCCAAACCTCTGAAGTGCAGTTTTGGCTCCAAATTTTGGGGAACTCCAAGGGGGCCGCTGGCTCCTGGCCTTAGCTCTCCCGGGGGTCACTGTACTGAAGCTCAGAGTTGAAAACCTCCTTGTAGAGAGGGGGGAAGTTCATGGCAGTCTCCGGGTGCAGGAGACGGAAAAATTCCAGCTTGTCCAAGTGCAGGTTGCAAATGGTCTTCATCAAGGGCAGCTTGGAAACCATCTGCAGGGAGAGAAGGAGCTGGTGACCGCTGGGGTGCTGGGTGTGGTGGCCCTGATGCTGCTGTTCCCCCTCCCTTGGGGACAAGCAGGGTGGTTTGGGGACAAGCAGGGCGGTTTGGGGACCACTCGGTGTCCCCTGCACTGCTGTTCCCCCTTCCCTGGGCACAGAGGATGGGTTTGGGGATCAAACCTGGCACTGGGGCCACAGCAGACTGCCCAACTTTGGACAGCCTGGCCTCGCCCCCAAACCCTCATCTTTCTACAGTGGGTGCTCCTCCCCATCCCAGCTCGGTGCAGGTCAAAGCATTCCCAAAATGGCTCTTTTTCCTAAAAAACCCCCACTTCTTGGTGCACTGCCAGGTTCAGCAGCTCTGCCTGCACCACAAGGGAGATTCACAGCCCTTGGAAGGAGAAATTCTTCTCCTCCCCTGACAGGTTTGAGGTCTCACTCTCCAAACTGTGTGCGGCTCATGAGCTCTGGCCCAGCCACATCCCCCAGCTCAGACAGCCCCTGCTCCCCTGGCTGGGTTTGTGTGCCCCCACCTTCGAGAGCTTGTCCTCAGCGGAGTGTTTCTTCTGGATCTCGTGCTGCAGGGCCACGTAGATCTTGTCCTGGAGCTTCTGCACCTTCTTGGACTCGGTCAGCCACGGGCGGTCTGGGGGAGAGGAGGGACAGAGTCAGCTCTTGTTGGATCAGGTTCTTTTCTGACTTAGAGATGGGGCAATGGAGAGGTGCTTTAAGAACTTTTATTTTATTTTTAGTAAAGATATGTATAATGTAATGTAATATATAATATGTAATATATAATATATAATATATAATATGCAATATATAATATAATATATAATATATAATATTATATAATATATAATATATAATATGCAATATTATGTAATGTAATGTAACATATAATATAGATATGATATGATATATGATATGATATGATATGATATGATATGATATGATATGATATAAAATGTTTGAAATAAACATTTTAAATATATGTTTTACTTATAACATATAATATATGTTATAAATCATGCTGTCACAATTAGAAGCTAATTATTAGAACACTGTCGCTATTAGAGGCTAATCCATTTCCCACAGCCACAGGGTCAGAGCCACCAAGGGTCTCTCCCAGGCACAGAGCAGTGGTCCCTGCCTCTTTTAACCCTTCCTGCTCCCCAGGATGGTTTTGGGGACACTTGGCTCCTCCTTCCCACCAAGGAAAATTTGACAGATGCATTTTGTCCACCTTCAGATGCATTTCCCCCCCAAGTTCCCTTCCCAGGAATAACTGAAATCATGCACCAAGGGAGGTTTATGGGGTCAGGACACCCCCAGATTTGGGGCCCCCAGTACCTGGGGAGAGCAGCACAGCAGCAGTGAAGAGGGCGAGCTCCTCGTCCGACAGCTGCAGGCGGCACAAGGTCCTGCCCAGCTCGAAGACGGCACCGATGAGGTCGTCACAGCCTGAGGGGACAGCGGGGACACGGCACTGTCACTGTCATTGTCACAGTCACTGTCACTGTCACGGTCACTGTCACTGTCATTGTCACAGTCACTGTCACTGCTCTGCACACCCAGCACAGAGCCCAGCGGCACCCGGAGCTTGGAAAGGTTTTGGGAGAGGAGATGGGTGGGGAGGGGTCCTGGGCACTCACCTGGGAAATTCCAACCTTGTCTGGGTGGCAGAGGGAGAGGAGAGAGGATAAGGGGAGGGAGAGGGAAAGCAGAGGATAGGGGGAGGAGGAGAAGAAGGAGAAAGAAAGAAGGAGAGAAAGAAGGAGAGAAAGAGAGAGAGAGAGAGAGAAAGAGAGAGAAAGAGAGAGAGAGAGAGAGAGAGAAAGAGAGAAGAAAGAGAGAAGAAAGAGAGAAGAAAGAGAGAAGAAAGAGAGAAGAAAGAGAGAAGAAAGAGAGAAAGAAAGAAAGAAAGAAAGAAAGAGAGAGAAAGAAAGAAAGAAAGAAAGAAAGAAAGAAAGAAAGAAAGAAAGAGAAAGAAAGAAAGAAAGAGAAAGAAAGAAAGGAGGAAAAGGAGGAGAAGGAAGAGGAGAAGGACAAAGAGAGAAGGGAGGAAAAGGAGGAGGAGAAAAGGAGAAAGAAAGGTGAAAGAAGAAGGTGAACAAAGAAGGAAAAGAAGGAGGAGAAAGAAGAAGGAGAAGAAGAAGGAGAAGGAAGAAGGAGAAGGAGAAGAGGAAGATGGAGAAGGAAGCCCCAAGGAGGGGCAGCTGGAGCCCTTACCGAGAGATTTGAACATCTGCATGCCACCGAACTTGCCCTCGAAGAGGACGGTGTTGTTCAGGGGGTTGAAGGCGCGGATCATGCGGATCAGGAGCACCTCGAGGCAACCTGATGTAGGCAGAGAGAGCGCAGACGAGGGCAGGGCAGGGCAGGGTGGGGAAGGTCAGGGGGGTTTCCGTCACCCCAGGACCAAATGTTAGAAAGAGGAAAGCCCCCAGTGCACGTTTGAGGTCCAGATTGTTCATTCCCAAGAGCAGGATGGGTATTTCAACAAATCCAGTTTGGGTTTTTGGGATTGGTTAGGTTGTTTTTTAGGTGTCCAATTGTGACCACAATATTTCACCAAAGGGAAATATTATCCAGTCATTCGCAGCCAGGCACAGAGAGACCGAGGTTGTGGTGGAGCACCGAGAGAGAGGAAAGGGTGAAAACAAAATAAATAAAAAGAAAATGGAAGGAAGAAATGAAAGAATGAGTTAAACTCCAGTGCTTCAGGCACAGCCAGCTCTGGGTTTGGGGTACAGCACCCCGCTGGGATGCTGGCATGTGTCCCCAGGGCTGGGTTCTGATCTCAGCTCCCCAGCTCTGACAGATCAGAAACTCTGAGGTTCTCCCAGTGTTTTGGGGATTTTGCACATTCAGCTCCCTGGCCTGGGCACGGCATTGCCAGCTTGGGCAGATGGAAGGGTGGGGGACGTGGGTGTGCGCTGCCATCATCCTCCTCTTCCCAGTCTCTTGCTGGGAGAAGAGGCCAATCCTTTTCTCTCAATCCTCCCTGCTCCTGTTGGAGTTTGGCACCCCTTCTCCCAGAGGAAAACCTTCTGTTCTCGTTTCCATCCCAGTTTCTGGGTGACATTTGGATGGAGAAAAGCCTGTGCCCAAGGCAGGCACTCCCCACGTGCCCCCCTTCACCATCACCCTTGGATGTGACCTGCAGCTCCTTCCAGCCCAGCACCTGCTCCCCCAGCACTGGGAGAACTGGGGCAGCCGGGGGGGGACCCCAAAAGGAAAGCATCAGCCAAGAGAAGAGATGGGATTTGCTTCTGGCCCCATGGCTCTGCTCAGGAGAGGGGTAGGGGGTGGCAGGGGGCAGTGGGGACACTCAGGGGGTGGCAGGAGACAATGGGGACACGCAGGGGGTGGCAGGGGGCCAGGGGGGCTCCCCCCTTACCGGCTTTCAGCAGGATGATCTGGTCGTTCTGGCAGAGCTCCATGAAGCCGTCGATGCGCTTGGCGAACTCCACCACGTACTGGATGGCGTTGGAGATCTGCAGCGAGCACTGCTGCCACATGGCCTCGCAGCTCTGTGCCACAGGGGACACCCTCAGAGTGTGCTGGCACCCTGGCACCCCAGCTCTGGGACCCCCTCAGGGCAGGGGTGAGACCCCACTGCCATGCCATTCATGGGGGACACTCAGAGTGTGCTGGCACCCCAGCTCTGCCACCCCCCAGGGCCAGGATGAGACCCCAGTGCTGTGCCACCCCCAGGGGACACTCTCAGGGAGTGCTGGCACCCTGGCACCCCAGTTTTGTGACCCCCCATGGCAGAGATGAGACCCCAGTGCCATGCCATCCATAAGGCACACTCAGGATGTGCTGGCACCCCAGCTCTGTGACTCCCCAGGACAGGGATGAGACCCCAGGACTGTGCCATCCATGGGGGACACTCTCAGAGTGTGCTGGCACCCCAGCTCTGCCACCCCCCAGGGCAGGGACAAGACCCCAGTGCTGTGCCATGCACAGGGGACACTCAGGAAGTGTTGGCACCCTGCACCCCAGCTCTGTCACCCCCAGAGCAAGGATGAGCTCTGTCACCCCAGGGGAGTGCTGTGCCATCCACAGGGGATGGTGGCATTGGGACACCTGGGGTGTGACCTGCCACAGCAAACTCCCCTCTGGGCAGCTCCCAAGCACTGACAGACCCTCCTCACCCAGCACAGCCCCGGGGACAGTGGCTGTGCCAGGGGCTGTGGTGGCAGTGGCACTCACCTTGCTCTGCAGGGCACGGACCTCCTCGGGCGAGTAGAGGCTCCAGGCCAGGCGCTTCAGCTCCTCCGTGGTGTACTGGCACGTCTCCAGGTGGGACTTCACCACGTTCTGGGCCACCCGGTCTGCAGGGGGGGGGGAGCAGCAGGAGGTGAGACCTGGGCACCCCAACCCTGTCCTGGCCTCTGGGGCTGTGGGGCTGAGGGCTGCAGGGGTGGTGGGGCTCTCACACGGTGTCACGGGGTGTGAGGACGGATGGGGCAGCAGGGACTGAGCCCAAAGCGAGCAAGGGATGTGCCACAGACCCTGGGTGGGCTGAGCTCCATCCATCAGGGAGCCTTGGGGCTGCTCCAGGAACTGAGGCTGGGCTCACCTCCCGGGATGCTACTGGTACCCCCAGGGATGCTACTGGTACCCCCAGGGATGCTCAATATCCCAGGGATGCTACTGGTACCCCCAGGGATGCTCAGTATCTCAGAGATGCCATTGGTACCCCCAGGAATGCTACTGGTACCCCCAGGGGTGCTCAATACTCTAGGGATGGCATCAGTAGCCCCAGGGATGCTATTGGTACCCCCAGGAGTGCTCAATATCTCAGAGATGCCATTGGTACCCCCAGGGATGCTCAATACCCCAGGGATGCCCAGAATGGTTTGGGTTGGAAGCTTAAATCCCATCCACTTATTCATCTTAAATCTCATTCCATGGGCAAGGACATCTTCCCCTAGAGCAGGTGTGTGACCCCAGGGCTGGGTGTCCGGCAAGGTGCTGGGGTGGCAGCAGGGATGCACCCCAGGGATGCCCCTGGTACCCCAAAGGATGCCCCTGGTACCCTCAGGGCAGCCATTGGTACCCCCAGGGATGCCATTGGTACCCCCCAGGAGTGCTCAATATCTCAGGGATGCCATCAGTAGCCCCAGGGATGCCCTTTGTACCCTCAGAGATGCCCTTTGTACCCCCAGGGATGCCCTTGGTACCCCCAGAGATGCCATCACTGCATCCCCTGGGGCAGCTTTGGCTCTGGGGAAGGACTCACTCGAATCCCAAGTGTAAGTGGTGGAGGGATGGATCCCTCCAGCATCCTTTGACTCTCTGACTCGTTCTTGTGGCCACACACTTGCCCTGCCCTGGCACTCACCAATCTCCAGGACAGAGATGTCAGGGGGCAGCTGGGCTCCCTCCAGCGCCCCGTGTGCCAGCAGCGCCGGCTCCAGCATCAGCTCGTAGAGGGATTCCTGCTTGATGAGCGTGGCATCGGCCACGTCCAGGCTGGACTGGTCGGGCGAGGGCTGTGCCGAGGCCAGCAGGTCCAGGTTGTAGTAGGTGCTGCCGCCGTCGGGGGTCAGGGGGAAGTCGAAGAGGAGCCCGTCGGACAGCGTGGAGATGTCGTCCAGGTCCGAGAGGCCGCTGCTGACGCTCGTGGTGNGGGGAGCACGGGGACCCCCCCGTGCCCAGTGTGCCCATGCCAGGGTGCAGATGCTGAGGTCTGGGCACACATCCCAGCTGGGAGTCCTGCAGGCGGGAATGGCGCTGTGGAAGAAGTGGGAAGGTGTGAAGGTGGCAGGGAGGCATTCCCACCCCGTCCCTCATGCTGGGACGGACACAGGGGGTTTTGGGGCCTGGGTTGTGCCCTGGATAAGGGACTCTGCCTGAGAGGAGCAGAGATGGTGGCTCTGGACCAGGCCTCGCCGTGCAGAGCCCGAGGTGCCAGCACAGGGCAAAGTCCCCTGGCTGTGGTTTGTGGTGCACCAGGTCACCAGAGTCCTCCCTGTGCCACATCACAGGGGTGGAGGCAGCTGGCCCTGGCAATGCTGGGCCAGGGCTCAGGTGCCAGGGTCAGTGCCCAGCCATGCCCAGCAATGCCTGGGGACAGTGGCACTGGCCTGGAGACCTGATGGGTGCAGAGAAGGCATCTGCCATAGGCATGAGCACTGCTCCTAATGCACACACGGATCTGGCATCCACCATGGGCATGGAGCTGGCATCACCACAGGCATGGATGGGGCATCTGCCATGAGCATGAGCATGAGCATGGCATCTGCTTGAGCATGGCATCCAGCCGTGGTCACAAGCATGGCACGGCCACATCAGCCATGGACGTGGAGACAGCATCCACCAGAGGCACAGAGGCAGCCACCATCACCACACATGGCATCACTGCCTCGGCCCTCAATGGCCTCCTGCCCTCTCAGCTGGGCCCTGAGGGGACACCTCAGTCCCCCAATCCTCAAATCAAACTACTTAATGGCAGCTGAAGGGGGCAATTTCAGCCCACATCCACCCCAAACGCTGAGCTGAGCCGGGGCTGCAGAGATGCCGATGTGCCATTGACAGAGGGCTCCCCTGCTGTTCCTGGGGCTGTCCCCCTGCTCTGGCACAGGCGGGTGGCAGTGGCAGGGGGACACTGGGGCTGAGCTGTGGTCTCACTTTGTGTTTTGAGCGCTCCCACCCCTGCACCGGGACCCTCCCGGCTCCGCTCCGNCGGCCGCGCCAGCGTGTGCACGCTGCCGAAACGGGCAGGGAAGCTCCTCCTCCGCCCTCTCTGATTTTTTCCAATGACAGATCTAGGTCACTAGGACAAGTCGCAAAGGCTGCCGAGCCACCGCACGCTCCTCGCCACGCTGCTTGCAAAACAAGTGAGCAGGAGGGCTGGAAATCGTATAGGATTATACAAGGCAAAGCCTCTCTCTTGCCCGGCCCCGGCGCAGCCGCGGCGCAGGGAAAGGACAGGAGCGAGGAGCTGCTGTGGCCCCCGGGGAAATGGGGCAGAGCGGTGGCGGTTTTGGGAAGGAAAATGGAGATTGAATCAATTTGGCGTCGCCATGCGGCGTTTGGGCTTCGAGAGGGATGAGGACGCGGGACTGCGGGAAAAACGCCCGACTGTGGGGAACTGTGGGAATCAGCTGGGTTCGGCCCTAAATTAGGGTCAACACCAGCAATTCATGGGGGGAAAGGAGAAAATATTTTTTAAAAAAAGGAAAAGTTCGCCCAGTTGCTAATTAAGCCGGTGCTGGCTGTGCAAGTGCTACGTAAGAGCCAGGCGTGATCGCAATTAGGCAGGCGTTAATGCTTCCCTCCGTCCCCATAAAGGTGCAAAGCCAGGATGTGGGGGGCAGGACGGGGATGTGGGGGGCTCGCCTCGCCCTCCCCACCGTTACACAAGAGAACAGCGGGGGCAGAGCCGCAGCACCCGCAGCGCAGGGAGCCAGCAGGATTTGAGGAGCTCGGCATGAACGCCCTGGTGCCCACTCCCCAAAATGAGCCTAAGGATCTGCACCCCCAAAATAAACCCATGGAGGGGCACCAGGGAGTCCTGGCAGGGCGAAGGGTTTGGGGAAGGCAGGGCATGATGGAAAAATGGTTTAAAGGAGGATGAAAATCCCAGCCCAGCACGCTGGAGCAGAGCTGAGTCCGGCCACCGCTGCGTCACCATCAGCAGGCCCCGCTGGATTGTCCCACTGGAGCCTTCCTCCCTCCATCCTCCTCCTCCTCCCCACCGCCTGCTCGGCAAAGCACAGGGGTGAAAAGTAGGAATTGCCTTTGGTAGCGGGTAAAAGCAGCCAGGTGCTGGCACAACTCACCCCTGCCCTGGAAAAGGGGCACCCAAAATTGCACCTGATCCCTCGCCCGTCCCTGCAGGAGCCTCCCAAACTGCCCCCCACGCCGTGGGGAGGGGAAAAGGGGGAAAAAACTACAATAAATCCAGCCCTGGTGGGAGCAACATATTGAAGAGGAGATTAAGGGGTTTAGTGCGGGGAAAAGCTTAAGCGTGCGTCTAAGCCGGCGTCGGAAAGCAAAGCAAAATAAACAAGAATTTTATTCCTAACGAAGGGGGAGCCGGAGGAGGCAGAGCGGCCCCGGCGGGGCTGGTGCGGGTTCTCCCCTCGTTCCCCTCGGCGGGGCTNGCCCTCCCCGAGCGGGAATGGGCCGGCACACCCTCCCTGCATCGCCTCCGCCCCAAGGGCGGGCATCCCGTGCACCCCAAAACAAAACAAGGCCGGCGCTGCAGGGTGCAGCCATGGGGGCTGGACCCCCTCTCTGGGGTGGCCCCATCCTCCTCCTCCTCCCCCTGTCCTTCCTCTCAGCCTTATGATCTCACTGTTTTTGGGGAATAACCCCAAAACCCTCAGCACCCCATTGAACCTTGGGATGTGCTGTGACCCCGCTGCTGCTGGAGAATTTCTGGAGCTGCCTCCCCCTCCCCATCGACATAACTGGGGCTGTGGGGCGAGGACTCCTAGGAGGGGTTTGTTTTGGGGTGCACTCCAGATCCCTGCACTGTCCCCCAGGGTGAGCCTGAAGAGCTGTCACCCCACAGGGCAGAATGTGGGCACCCCTTGCCCTGTGGTGTCCTTGCTGGAGGCAGTGGGGCAGCACCCCAGCTCTGGGTATTTCAGAGGTGGCTCCGTGCCTCTGGTGCCATCCCTGCCCCAAATACCCCCCAGTTCCTCCCCAGTGCCCTGGCTTGGTACCCAGTGACCCTGCTGGGACAGAGCTCTGCGCCCCATCCCTCTGCCAGGCTCCATCGATGCTGCAGGATGGGCACCCCTGGGAATTGGCAGCAGCCCTGCAGCCCCCCTGGATCCCCCAGCCCCAGCCAGGGCTCCAATGCTTCACCTCCAGCACCTCTCCCCTTGCAGGGGGATTCAGCATCGCTGGTGCAGCCAGAGCAGGGAGAGGAGGGTGAGTCCAGGCTGCACAGGGACCCACAGGGACCCACAGGGACCCACAGGGACACACAGGCACACACAGGGACACACAAGGACCTACAATGCTGCCCCATTTCCCATTCCTGCCCTAAACCCCAGCTCTGCACCCGCATCCCCTGCAGCAGCCTCCAGCCCCAGCAGTGACTGCACTTCCCCACAGCCACCATCCCCCAGTTGTTTTTTGCTGTTGGGGCAGGAATAAACAAGGAAATAAAGGGCATTATCACCCCTTTTATCTGCTGTTGGCTTTGCTGTTAAACAGCCTCCGGTGCTGCAGTGCCTCGGGGTCTCCCAGCACCCCGGAACTTCGGCCATGGCTGCCAAAAAGTCCCATCTCCATCTCTGGGGAACCCCAAACAAGGCAGGCCCATGCCGGGTGTTCACAGCCCCTGTTCAGACACAGGCACACCGGGGCCAAGTGGGCAGCAGGGAAAATTCAGATGACACAAGCACGGCCCGTGCCGGGCTGCGATTCTGGAGGGAGAACTGCTTTCCTAAGTGATTAGCAAAGATTTCCTGGAAACTTTGGGCCAGAACAGCGCTCAGCTGCTCTCACCCTGCCCTGGGGCAACCCCTGGCCACCTTCCCTTGCAGGCACGCGAACGGAGCTCTTGCATTCTCCCCAGCCTCCAGCAAACGCTGCTTTTCCCCATTCCCGTGGCGCAGGGGAATGGCAGCTCGGGGTGGGCGATGCGGCTCCCCCGGGGCCGCTCCGGTTCAGCAGCTCCGGTTCCGCAGCTCCCGTGCCACGCCGAGCCGTGCCAAGGCCAGCCCAGCAGCCCTTTGCACTTTGCCTGCTGCACAAGGGTGGCAAAGGTGAGGCAGAGGGGAGGGGGGACCTGCCAGCCCGGGGTGGGGACAAACCGGGCTGCGGTGGGAGAACCCCTCCGGCAGAGCTGCTAAACCGGGGGGAATTATCTCCCCGGGGGCTAAAAAAAGCCAGGAGAGCAGCTCTGCTCGCCACATCCGATAAACCGGGCTGATTTAGACATTAGCAGCTCTTTAAATAGCCGCGGCTAGTTCAAAGTTAAACGTGACAGAGAGCAGGGACAGGGACACGGGGATGGGGACAGAGACCACCAGACCCCAACAATGATTTCGCCTCTCCCTATGCTGGCTCTCCCTGGGGTTATCAGCGTGGGGGGACCCCAAATCCGCTCTGGACCCCTCATAGAAGCAGAGGGCAGCTTTCTCCTCCGGGTTTGGTTTTTGGGGATGGAGGCAGGGCCANGAGAGGCTTCAGAGACAAAATGTAAACAATGGTTATGTGCTGCTGTGGGATGCAACAGGTGGATCCGTGATTGTGGATGTTTGGAATTAGTGACCACTCACGGCAGAGCTGGCTCTCACTCTCTGTCCAAGCCACAGACCTTTGTTTTCATTCCTTTCCATTCTATCCTTAGCTTAGCCAGCCTTCTGAGATGCAACTCTTCTTTCTATTTTTTACTATAGTTACAATGTAATATATATATATCATAAAATAATAAATCAAGCCTTCTGAAATATAAACTCAAATCCTCATCTCTTCCCTCATCCAAAGACCCCTGTGAACACCATCACACCAGACCAACCCTGGGTCAAACCAAACAGAACCAATTTCGATTTTCCCACGGAAAACACAAAACCATTTCTTGCTTCCCAATCCCTCCTCGCACCCGCTGGCCCTGCGGGGGGATCAGCTCCATCCTGAGCGCCTGACCCGCTCCGAGGAGCAGCAGGGGCCCTGGGGACCGGGGGCAGCACTCACCGTCGCGGGACATGCCCAGTGCCAGGCATTTCTGCAGGCGGCAGTGCTGGCAGCGGTTGCGGTTGGTGCGGTCGATCAGGCAGTTCCTCTGCCGGGAGCACGAGTAGCTGGCATTGTTCTGCTGGCTCCTCCGAAAGAAACCCTGTCCGGGATGGGATGGAATGGGATGGGAGAGGTTGGGGAAATGCCCTGCTGGAAGGCAGAGCCGCCCCCTGCCCGCAGCGCTCCTCCCCCGGGCTCACCTTGCAGCCTTCGCAGGTGATGACACCGTAGTGGATCCCTGAGGATTTGTCTCCGCAGATCTTGCACGGGATCACCTCGATTTGGGCTGCGGTGGGTGGGGAAAGAGGGGAAACCACGGGGTTAATGATGGTCACTGCTGAGAGGGAAGAGGGCTCAGCACCTGGGGAAACTGAGGCACGAGAGCTGGACCCACTGGCAGCACAGCCCTTCCCACAGACCCCACAAGGGTTCCTGCACCTCAGAGAGGTCCCTAAAAGGTTCACACAGGGCGTGGGGAACCCCCATCCCCCAGCAGCAAGAGCCAGGGTAGGAAAGCCCTTGGATCCAGGAGAGCACAGAAGGTTTCTGCCCGGGACCCTGTTTTGGAATCACTTCCCTTATTTTCCAACAGATGTGCGCACCAGGACAGGGACAGCCTGGCACAGGGACATCTCCATCCCTGCAGCTGCCCCAGGCAGAGGCTCTGGGCCCCCCCGCGCCCCCCCAGCAGCTCCCTTGAACCCAGCACCGATATAGCCGATACAGCCACCCCCAGCTCAAGGTCCCGGCCCCTTCCCCCCACAAATCCGCTTCCCTCCCGCTTCTGCTTCGCTGGCACTGAGCTGCTAATAGGCTTCGTCCTCCTCATTTTCCAGCTGCCCCAGATCCGGGCTGGCCGTGCCCTCCCGGCCCGGGGGGGGATGCTCGGCACCCCCGGGGCTGTACGTGCCTCCCGGCATCTCTGCACCCTCTAATCCCCATCCAGCCCCCGCAGCCCGGCCCGGCTCAGCCTGGCGGCGCTCTCGAGGGTGCTGGGCAGGCCCCGCCGCGCCAAAATAACCCCCAGGGCCAGATTATGGCTATTTCCAATCTCCAGGGCCTGTGCAAATCCCCGCTGGGCTCGGGTAATTCCCTTCTGCCTCTGCTCTCCCCTGGGAGCCATCGGCTCTGCTGGAGGGATATGCTTTGTGGGGCCACCTCTGTGAGTGACAGTCCCAGTGCTCAGCCAGTGCCACTGTACCCAGCAGGGTCCTGGGGTCCCTTAGTGCTCGGGGGAGGCTGGGATGGGGCACTGAGGCCTCACTGGACAGAGAGGCAGCTGAGGTGCCATTGGTTCCTCAGGGAAGCTCAGTCCCCCAGGGATGGCCTTGGTCCCTCCTAGGGATGCTCACTGTCCCTTAGGGGAGCCATTGGTACCTCCAGGGGGGCTCAATACCCCAGGGATGCTATTGGTACCCCAAGGGATGCTATTGGTACTCCCAGGGATGCTCAGTATCCCAGGGATGCTGTTGGTACCCCAAGGGATGCTCAGTATCCCAGGGATGCTGTTGGTACCCCAAGGATGCTCAATATCCCAGGGATGCTATTGGTACTCCCAGGGATGCTCAATATCCCAGGGATGCTATTGGTACTCTCAGGGATGCCATTGGTACCCCCCCAGGGATGCTGTTGGTACCCCCAGGGATGCTACTGGTACCCTAAGGGAAGCTATTGGTACCCCCAGGGGTGCTCAGTATCCCAGGGATGCTGTTGGTACCCCAGGGATGCTCATTGGTCNTGCTTATGCAATAGGCGCTGCCATGCGGCTCTGAGGGACACCGAACGCCGGGCAATTACCCGGCCCTAATCAGCAGCGACGCAGGTAACGAGGCTAATTGGAGCCGTGGCCAGCAGAGCTGCCGGGGGAGGAACGTTCAGCCTCCCCCCGCACCCCGAGGGGTGTCCCGAGCAATTAGTGACCGCTGAGCCTTCCGTAGGGGCCGGGGGAGGGGAACCGGGGCCGGGCTGGATCCCACCGTGCACCGGGCAGCGGCTCTGGGTGCCCATGGGGTGGAGAACGGCACCTCCATCCGTGCCTGCATCCCATCCCTTCGTGCACCTCCATCCGTGCCTGCATCCCCATCCCTGCCTCATCCCCATCCCTGCCTGCATCCACACCCCTGCCTCCATCCTCACCCCTGCCTTCATCCCCATCCCTGCCTGTATCACCATCACTGTTTGTATCCCTGTCTCTTCCTGCATCCCTGTCCATCTGCACCCTCATCCCTGTCTCCATCCCCATCTTTGTCTCCATCCCTGTTCCTGTCTCCATCCCTGTTTCCATCCCTGTCCCATTCTCCATCCTCATCTCTCTCTCCATCCCTGTTTCCATCCCATCCCTGTCTCCATCCCTGTCCCCGTTCCCATCCCTCTCTCCATTCCCATCCCTCTCTCCATCCCATCCCTCTCTCCATCCCCATCCCTCTCTCCATCCCTGTCCCATTCTCCATGCCTCTCTCCATCCCCATCCCACACTCCCATATCTCACTGCTGCCCCAAGTAGGTCACTGGGCTGTGGTGTTTGGTGACCGTGGGTGGCTGCAGTGCTCACCCTGGGGGCTTTGCTCCCTTTGTCCCTGGTTGCCCTGGCCCCAGGGGCCCAGCCCAGCCCTGCTCACCCCTCTGGGCTCGGTGGTCCCTGGGGAGGGGCAAAGGCAGCGTCCCCTGGCCCAGGCTGCAGAGCCCTGACCCACCTCACTGCACAAATGACACCCAAATCGGCACCTGGAGGACATTCCTGCCCTCCCGTCAGAGCCCCCTCCCTCCCTGGAGCCCCAGGGGCTCAGCCCAGCAGCGAGGGGTGCAGGGGCTCCCCGGGCAGCTCCCCCTGGCACAGCCCCAGCTCGGCACCGTCCGGGCACCGAATCTCCAGCGTCATAATTAGGAGATAAACAGGAAAGAGGAAAGGGGCAGATTTCATATTCCGCCCCAATCCCCCCGGGACAGATAAAAGCGGAGTGGGGGGACTCAAGGGGGCTTTTTTCCCACTTGTTTCTGCTGAATCAAACATTTTTCCTCCTGCTTAGAAGATTTCCTGACTCCCCCCGTTCCCCCCGCTCCCGCCTTAATGAGGTTTTGCTGTAAAAGTCTCCGAGCCTCAACCATGGCCTTGAGTTAATCTCCAGGCACCTTCAAAGCTGGGTTGTTCCTGCCCCCCCTCCAGCCCCTCCTTCACCTCCATCTTTTTGAACTTCCCAGCCACAAAATTGCTGAGTTTCATGTGATGCTGCTTCTCCTGTGCCTGGTGGCAAGCACAGGGGTCCCACAGCAGGTGGGGGCACCTGGCAGTGACACAGACCCTAGGGCTGGGATGTGGGATGGTCCTTCCAGGTGGAAAAGCCACCTGCCTTTGAGGGGAATCTCCAATCTGGGGTGAAAAGGGTAAATTTGGAGATTTTATTTTGCCCCCATATTGGAATATTGTGGAAATGCTGCAAAAAAGATAGCTCAGGGCCACCAAGGGGGTGGCTCTGGTTTTGCCACCAACAGTGAGGCTCTGGGGGCTGGTGGCACTGGGGCATCACCCTGTGGGGCAGGCAGAGGATGTGGCAGCAGCCAGGAGCATCCTGGGCTGGGCATGGCTGTGGCACCCCAGGCTGGGGCTGGCAGCAGGAAAATGCTGCTGGTCAAGGTGCTGTCCTGGCAGCAGGGATGCCACCGAGGGGCTGTGCAGCTTCCAAGCCCCTTTTCCAGGCAGCAGCTGCTTCCCAAAGCAGAGCCCTGGGTGGGCAGCCAGGACTCTGCACCCACCCTGCCTATCACCTGTGTGGGTGCCCAGCCCTGGGCACAGCAGGTCCAAAACCCTGGCAATGGGAGGGTGGGAGCATTTGGGTCCAAAACCCTGGCAATGGGAGCAGCAGAAGCAGAGCTGCCAGCACAGTGGTGCTGCCCTGTCCCAGCCATGCTGGAGCCCTCGGGCACTGCCAGGCTCCTGCCCCCGGTGCCCCTCGGGCACTGCCAGGCTCCTGCCCCCGGTGCCCCCGGTGCCCCTCGGGCACTGCCAGGCTCCTTCCTGCCCCCAGGCTGCCCACGGTGCCCGTACCTGGGCGTCCCGTTCCAGAGCCGATCTGGAGGCTTTAGTGCAAGTTAATCCCAGCAATCCCTTAATTCCAGGCACCGAAATAGGAAAGATCAGTAGGTCAGTGGGAAAAGCTCTTGGCCAAAGTTAACATGTTAATGCAGAGAGAAGGCGAGGTAAAGAGCAGGGAGGAGGAAAGTGCCCAGAAATCTGCTGCTGGCCCTGCCCATGCCCGGGCTCTGATCAGTGCATCCTGCTGGTTTGGGGATGCCAAGCCCAAAGGGAGGCTTGGCAGCTCCCACGGGGTGCAGTGTTGGGAAGGAAGGAGGGTTTTTTGGAAGGAAGGAGGGTTTTTTGGAAGGAAGGAGGGTTTTTCCCCCTCCCAGCAAACACCCCAAGCCCAGCAGTGGCATCCCTGATGGTTCAGCCCTGCCCTGCAGAGCCGGGGCTGTGCTTTAGCCCCGCTGAGCAGCCCTAATTAGGGCTTGGCAGGCGCCCGCCTCTGCCCCTAAGCGCCTTTTTGGCTGCTGCTCTGGAAAAAGCCGTGCCAGAGGGCTTAGCTTTTAATGCAGCCAAAGCCCAGGTGAGCCACCCACTGTTGCCAGCCCCAAAGGGCTGTGCCAGCCCCCTCTGAGGGCTCAGCTCCGCTTGTGGGTCCCAGCTCCTGCTGTGGCATCACCTGCTGGCCCCACACAGGACCCCCAGCCCTGCAGTGCCCGGTGCATCCCAGCTGGAACACCCCAAGGCCTTTCCCTGCATCCCCAGGTGTTCTCCCTTGGGGTTTGGGTGCTTTTGGGCAATAATATCGCTATGGGAGCAGTTTCCTTAAATCCATCTTTGTTACCACAAGCAGCTTAGCACCAGAAACTCTCTTCCTCTCTGCTCTTTTAATACGATCCCAGCTTAGCAAAGCCCTGGGCTTAGCCACTGCCCCTGCAGTGCAAGTGAGGAGAGGAGAATTAAATAATATGAAAGGAGAAAACAAAGGGCTCTGCTTGATTTAAGCAGCTGGAGAGGGGTGGCAGGAACCCAGCCCTGCCTCGGGAGAGCCACTGGGGTTACCCGAGGAGGGGGATGCTCGGTGGGGTGATACAGGATGGGACCCCTCTGGGATGCCTCCTTTTTACAGGTCAGTGGGTCAGGGATGCTCTGATGCTCTCCTGCTGACAGATCCCAAGGGAGACAAGGCACCTCAAATACCTCACTGTGCTTTCTTGGGGCAAATATCCCCATTTTTGGGAGTTTTTCCATTTTGGGCTCTGCCAGAA